TACCATTGTGGGCTGAAGCAGCGGGTCTTGCATGGTTGCTAGCTCGATCTCGGACAAAGTCATTGCTTTGGGGACAGCGTTCTGCGCGACATAGGCAACATACTTGTCAGCAGTTTGCTCGTCATCAATGTCCAATACACTTGGGGCAGATATGGGATGACGCGATGCATAGTCTGCCGGATTGTTCGGTCCTGGTCGGTATTCTACAGTAAAACGATAGTGCTGTAGATCCATCAACCAACGTTCGATCCTGGCTGACGGTTTTGACACCGGTTTGTTGAACAGTGAGACCAACGGTTGATGGTCAGCGACGATCTTAAACTCCTTTCCATATAGGTATAGGTGAAACCTCTTGATCGACCAGTATATTGATAGTGCTTCTCGATCTATCTGCGTATAACGCAATTCTGTCTCTGATAGCGGATGACTGGCGTAATGCAGCGGATTTGTCTCATCGGTTTTCTGATCCTTCTGGGTTAAGACTGAACCTAGGCCTACTGGGCTACCGTCCACAAACAACGTAGTGGGTTTTTCTGGGTCAAAGTAGCTTAGCGTGGTCTTTTCGGACAATGCAGCTAGTAGCCTTTCTAGCGCGGATTGTTCTTCCTTTTTCCAGGTCCAGGGAACATCCTTGCATGTCAGACGATGCAGCGGGTTTGTTATGATCGCAAAGTCTTTGATGAATCGCGAGCAGAATGACGCGGAACTCAACAGACTCGTGACTTCAGTTACATTAGTTGGTGGCGTGATTGCTTTCAAGTCTGCGACCTTCTTTGTGTCCGGTGAGATTTCTTTAGCGCTGAATTGATGTCCAGAGAACAACATTGTCGGAACGCGGAATTCACATTTCGGAACATCGGAACACGATTCGACGTTGTAGCACACGTTTCAGACGCACATCGTGTTGCTCGGTGTCAACACCTCCAACGTAGATGTCGTCACTAATGGTCACGTCACTAACAATGTTTTGAAATATCTCGGCGGAGCATGACATCTCGAAGTTGAGACGCTTGTAATGCCACAATCCTACATGTGTTGAGAACGTGGTCAGGTTTCGGAAGTCAGGGTGTAAGAGAACCTGATGGTAACCCTGCCTCAGATCTAACTTGCTGAACACTTTTTAGCCATTTAAGTCTGCAGCGATATCGTCGATGGTCGGTATGATGTGACGTTCGCGAATAATCGCGCGATTCACTGAACGCATGTCTACAAATATCCTGATTTCGTCAGGTTTCTTTGGTTTTGAAACAACCATTATCGGTGAAATCCAAGGTGTTGGTCCTTCTGAACGCTCGATGATATCGGATTCCTCGAGTTCCTTCAATTTTCCCTCGACGTGTTGACGAACATAAAATGGAATGCGACGGTGTGGTTGGGCTACTGGAACGAAGCTGGGGTCTACATGGACGTTAACCGGTTCACCCTTATAGGCATCCATTCCACTCGTGATGTCAGGAAAGTCACACAGAAACTCAGGCGCATTCGGTTGCTCAGAAATCGCATTCGCGACTTTGATCAGACGTAGCTTTTGTGTGGTTTTCCAACTTAGAAGCGATCCACTAGGTCCAGAGACAATGTAGAATGTCTCCTTAGATGTACATTGGTCACTGCGTATCTCAGCTTCAAATTTTCCTTGAATCACGAGCGGTTTGTCGGACATGTACGGAAATAAATGAGATTTCGATGGTGCGAGTTGCGGCCGATGGTGCAGAGGAAGGTAATCCTCCTGATTGAGAATGTTTACAGTCGCTCCTGAATCGGCCATAACCATGGTCTTGGTGTTGCCAATCATGACGTTGAACACGGGTTTTTCCGTAATGCTCCATCCGGATCCCGATTCGCCTAATCGAAAGATGTACTCGTCATCGTCGGTAGCGTTGACGTAGTCGGAGGTCGGTGGTCGCAACCGAGAAGAAGTACATTTCTTCCTTGTAGCATAGCGGACCCAGGACAAAAACGGATCATTACTTTAAGCAGTAGAATATTAACTTTTTAATGGATTGCAGCATAAAACTTTAATAGCTGCTTCATCAACTTGTCCAATGAATTTGATTCTTAAAGATAATAGATTTGAAGCATTAAAGTTAACTGCCGTCAAATTTCGCCGCATTAATTAGTTTGATTACTAAATTTTTAATTGCATCAAATCATTAACTTTAAGGAGTTAAGGAATTATTAACTTTTTTACCATGATGAGCCATTAAAACTTAATAGCTGTATCATCAAACTTATCATATGATTTGATTTCTTAAAGATAATGATTTGAACATTAAAGTTAATGGTAATTTCGCCGCGATTTAATAGTTTTGCATTTACCTAAATATTAATGATCAATCACCATTTAATAATCGATTCTTAAAATTATCGCATCATTTTAAATGCCCTTCTTAATAATCGCCGATTATAAAAGGCATTTAATTGATCGATATTTTTAAGAATCGATTATTAAGTGGCTGGATTTGATCATGTAAATTTAGTTAATCAAACTATTGTAAATGCGGCGAAATTACCATTAAACTTTAATGTTCAAATCGTTATCTTTAAGAATCAAAATCATGCTCAAAAATAAAAACACGATGGCTTGTTGCATAGACAGAATAATTAATTACAATAAAACAATTCTTTTTTAACTCAAAACTTTATTGGAATGCTATTCTTGTACACCCACAAACAATTTTCACTCTTTATTTCACACTGCTTAAAGCTAAACTGTATGAACGAAAAGCCCGCCATGTGGCTACCAGAGAGGGGGAATACAAACGCACTGCAAACACTCTCATAAACGAACGATCAGAAACATGATAATACGACTAATGTCAGAGTCCTGCAACACACATATGTCCTTGCAATTAGTCCCTTCAAATTCCATCGTCCTTCTAGCTGTTTTAGCAGCATTTCGTTTTTCGCTCCTTTTTCCTCCATCACGAACTCAGATTAGCGACCTTCTTTTTGTTCTGTTTGTGTTAAATCGACTTGATGTACATCCTTTTGGACGGGGCTTGATTAAATTTCGACGGCGCTAAAATATGTTCATCAGCAGCGAGTCTTACATTGGTTGGCCTGGGAAAATGGCTCTCTGTTATCTCTGAAATCCAACGTACGAATCCTAAAATCGGTAATGCCATGGTTAGACCACGCGTGCTCTCACCAGTCCTCACTCTTAGGAGGTCGCCCCGCTGACCCACCGGGATGCGCACACACGTAGAATTACACTTTCAAAGGAAATTACAGTACGCTCCCTCTTTCCACAGGCCCACTTTACGTCGATCGTTCACATCAGCCACTAACTATGTACTTAGCCTCAAGCACACCATTTGACGGCTCGAAACGCACGGGTAGGATATTACGATGGTCACTCCCCTGCTGCCTTTACGTCGATCGTTTCACATCCGAGCACTATAACTAGGTACTAGCCTCAGCACACCATGACGGCTCAGAACGCCACGGTTATAATTACGAGGCTGCAACCCATCACAAACACAAACACCGTACTGCCCTCAACGGCCTGCCTGGACGCAAGACAAAACAGATGCAGACCGTTCTAAACACGCTCCTTCCCAAAACCTCGCTACCATTCGCTGCACGCGACACAAACTGAGTGGCTGACAGGCCACGCCCCTTTTGGAACGCCAGGCTAGCTAGCTAGGCTAGCCGTACGCTAAACGCGTGTTGCGGCGGAAACCCTTATGCGGTGAACCGCTCCCCCAACCGGAGATTGATACACCCAATATAGGCCCCCAAAGTAATGATCCACTTTGCCCGAAAACGCGACCCTCCAAAGCGACGACAACAACTTGGGCCTCGTACGAAATCTAATTTTTTAGTTTTCAATTTTTCAAGCTGGGTCGATGTTTGTGGTTTTAATCATTAAAATTGCGTATCCCGATGGTGGCTGTTCTCTAATGGTTTTGAGCATTAACTTAGTAATTCAAAGATAATGATCAAAACAGACTTAAGAGGTTTAAACCATCAAAAGTTGTAGTATGATCCTTTTCAGGTTGATAGTCTTGAGCATTAACTTGGTGAATCAAAGATGATGATCACAACTGAAATAAATGATTTTAACATTAAGTTAAGGGGGGGGGAAAAAGGGGGGGGCGCGGTTCCTCCGCCTCCACTTATCTTCCAGTGATTCTTAAAGCCTCTTTAATAGTTTGATTATTTAAGTTCATGATTTCATTCGGCAGATGGAATTTCAATGATCAATGCGCCAAGTGATATAAAATTCATTAAGTTTAATTGACTCGAAACTCTTACTTTTTAATGATCTTGATTATTAAGTTAATAATTGCTTACTATTAAAGTTAATTGATAAATTTTATTCCTGGGGAAAAGTGTACACTTATCTTCTCGAATGGGGCCTTTCTGGTAGCGGTGACATTATTCCAGCGGTTCAGGTGTTTACCATGGGTGTTTCGCGATTTGGCCCATGGTAAACAAGATCTGGACTTTCTGCTCACACCAGTCCACCTGTCCATAAGCGGAACCACCCTTTTCTCTCGCAATAAGGCCCATCTGGGTTTAGCAATACGAGGTGTTCCTTTCATGTTGCGATGTTAAACAGTTCTTTCCTGAAAGGCTAGTCGGTACTACGATGCGGTTCGATTTCGAAGACTTAGGGTATCGGTACACGGTTTATCTCACACTTTAACGTCTTTCAAGTCTTGAGAGTTCAGAATAGCTCGTGACACACTTGGCAGGAGCGTTTGTCGCCGCACCATTACCAGACTTCATGGCTAACGTAAAAACAACGTCAAAATGTCAACGTTAAAACACGTTCAAGTGTAGCTGTGTAGAGACGGTGTGGAAATTTACACAGCCACTCCACAGACGCTGTTCAATCTTCCACACGTGGAAGAAAATATCAAACACGTATGATATTTTCCACACGCCACAGACTGATGCATTTTGCATGTTCACACGCTGTGGAACGCGCTGCGCCATCGTCCACGTGTAGTGACGTGTAGGTGGTTTCAAGGCGAGGGGGCCACGAGCAGTCCCCACCATTCTGACTTTAAATGCAAGTATCCTTTACCCTCATCCCCCAATCAATTATCATATTCATTCATAGATAAAAATAGATAGCTGTGAATCTATAACACAAATTTCATTTAATAAAATAAACCAAAATCGCATGGGGAGGGATAGTGCGCAACTGCGTATCTGCATATCTGCGCCTAACAAATGTGTCACTACGCACAACTGAAATTTTACGTTTATAACCGTAGCAACAGACCCCAGATGAGCCCAGTCGCTCTGCGGCTCTTGTTTCTGGGAGTCGCGCTGGCGCACTATTTCTGCGACTAGATCCGTTTGAGGTACTTGTGGCAGTTTGTTGCGGACTGCTCGCTTGAAGAACAGGGTTGCCGGTGCAACTCCGGTTGTGTCATGAGGAGAGGTTCTATAGTCCCTTAACCACGATATCAGGTCTTTCTGCCAATTTGTTCCACGAGCTTTTGACACCCTGACATGTTTCTTGAACGATCCTACCATTTTTTCCACTTCACCGTTGGCGCGAGGCCAAAGCGGTGTAATTTTGCGGTGCTCAAATCTAACGGTCTCAGAGAATTTCGCAAACTCGTGGCCATCAAACGGTGGCCCATTATCGCGGATTTGACTGTTTGTGGTGTACCAAACGTGGAGAAGATTTGGTCGAGCTTCGAAATCACACACTGAGCAGCAGTGGAGCGGATTGGCTCGATAAATGGGAATCGTGAGTATTCATCAACGAGAAGAAGTACATTTTCTCCTTTAGCATAGGGAAAGTCTACACTTATCTTCTCGAATGGGCCTTCTGGTAGCGGTGACATTTCCAGCGGTTCAGGTGTTACCATGGGTGTCGCGATTTGGCATGGTAAACAAGATCTGACTTTCTGCTCAACCAGTCTGTCCATAAGCGGGAACCACCCTTTCTCTCGCAATAGGCCCTTGGGTTTAGCAATACCGAGGTGTCCTTCATGTGCGATGTTCACAGTTCTTTCCTGAAGGCTAGTCGGTACTACGATGCGGTTCGATTTCAAGACTAGGGTATCGGTACACGTTAGCTCACCTTTAACAGTTTAACAAGTTACTTAAGGTTAAGATAATGACACTACCAATTGCAGCCCGTTTTCGCCCAATTACCACGACTTTATTCTACCTGTGCCTGAAGCAGTCGGGTAATTAGCATGTTCTAGCTCGTATCTCGCCAAAGCACTGATCTGGGACAAGCGCTCTCGTGCCGACATAGGCAACATACTTTTAGGCAGTTTGCTCGTCATCAATTCCAATATCAACTTTGGGCAGATATGCGATGACGCATGCATAGTCTGTCTGGATAGTTCGTCCCTGTCGGTATTCTACAGTAAAAGCGATAAGTGATGTAGGTCCATCAACCACCGTTCGACTCCTGCCGACGTTTGACCGTATTTGAAACAAGTGCAGAACCACGTTTATCGGTCTTTGATCCGATCCTAAACTCCTTTCCCATAATAAGATATATAGGTGATAAACCTTCTTCGAATCGAGACCAGTTATTCGATAGTGCTCATGATACTATCTCCGGATAAACGCCGATTCGCTTCGATAGCTGATGCTGGCGTAATCAGCGATTTGTCTCATCGGCTTTTCTTGATCTCTTCTGTTAAAGACGAACCTATCCTAACTGGGCTTAACCGCCACTAAACAACTATGGTTTCTTATCTGATCAAATAGATCTTAAATTAGCGTGGCTTTCGGACAATGCACGCTTGAGTACTTTCTATCGCGGATTAGTTCTTCGTTTCCCCCAGGTCACCAGGAAGATTCCTTAGCATCGCTTCAGACGACCGCACGCGTTCCTGTATTGATCGCAAAGACTTTATGAAATCCTGAGCAGAAATGACGCGGAACCTCAAACAGACTCTTGACTTCAGCTTACACTAGTCGTTGCGTGATTGCTTCAATCTGCCGACCTTTTTTGGTCCGCCGCTGAAAATTCCTTTAGCGCTGAGAATTGATGCCAAAGAAACAACCATGATCGGAATGCCGACTCCAATTTCGGAACATGAATGTCAAGATTCGACTCGGTCAGCACGTTGATGCACACCGTTTCAGAGCGACACATTCGTGTTTCTCACGTGTCAACACCGCCAACGTAGAGTTCGTCGAACAATGTTACTAACGCCCTGCATTCCCTTGGTCACGTCCTACGAATTATTGAAATATTGCGCGAACGCATGACATCACCGACAGTGAGACCCTGTAACCGCAACAACCTACAGTGCTTCAGAAACGTCGTACCAGGTTCGGGCGTTCCAGGCGTGTAAACGCAGAACTGATTAACCCGCTTCAGATTCTAAATTGCTGCACACTTGTGCAGCCATTTAGTCTTCAGCGACTAGATCGTACGATGGTCGGTAATGATGTCACTCGCGCATGATCGGCGATCATGAAACGCATGTTACACATATCCGATTTCGTCAGGTTCTTTGGTTTTGAACAACGTATCACTACGGTGAAATCCAAGGTGCGTCCTTACTGAACGCTCAGATGAATCCGATTCCTCGAGTTCCTTCAATTTTCCTCGACGTGTTGAACGACCATGAAATGAATGCGACCGATGTGGTTGGACTACTGAGAAACGACGCTGGAGGTCTACATGACTATTAACCAGTTTCACATACCTTATAAGGCCCCCATTCCACCGTGAGTCACGGAACAGTCACACAGAAATCAGAGCATTCGTTTCTCAGCAATCGCAATCGTGACTTTGATCCCCAGACGTAGCTGTTGTGAGTTTTCCAACTTAGAAGCGACCCACTAGTCCACAGACCACTAGATCTCCTTAAATGATACATTAGGTCACCTGCGTACCTCAAGAACTTCAAATTTTCCTTGAATCACGAGACGTCGTTGTACGGACATTACGACATATCTGATATTTCGATGTGCGAGTTGCTGCCTATGGCTGCACAAATAAAGGTAAATCTCGCTGAAATTAGATCGAAATGTTACATCGCTCCTGCTGAATCGGCCTAAAATGGTCTTGGTGTTGCCAAATTCTGAACGTTGAATCACCGGTCTTTCCGTAATCTGACTCCATCCGATCATCGATTCGCAAGTAATCGCCCAAGATTACTCGTCCATCATCGGTCAGCCGTTGACATTAGTGGCGGTCGGTGTTGGTGAACGTGCTTAGTGATGCCTCTAAGGCACTGATCATTATGACTTCGTTGACAAACCTTCCTTTCCACGGTGATATCCCATCGCTTGCCGAATCTCGATGATCGTCGCGCCCGCGTTTTGAGCGCTGCCGCACACTACCGAAGTGATTTAACACACACCGCATTCTCTACATCCTATCCCTTTGCGCAGCGACATCTCCTCTGCTGTGTTATGGTCCCACCACAACCGGTCGTTGTCACGAATTAATGCCCATCGCTACGGCACTATGCGAGTAGATTGCGTGTTTGTTTTGTCCGACTGTTCAATGCATGCACTTGCCGGATGTAACCCACTGTCATTTCCCACTGATGACGGCTGTGCTCGTCTGCCATTTCCATTGATACCGGCACGTTTAAGCAAATTGCTCAAAGGTCAGTGTCTGCTCGCTTCTTTCCCTGAGCGCGCGGCATGTTTGTCGTACCCCTTGTATTCAACTGGCGCATTTGATTTCTAGTAGCATACAGCAAATCAACAACGCTTGACTGGAAACAAGCCTGGTATAAATTCACACAACATGCTTAGTGCTCACTCGCTTTTCCTCACTGCAAAGCAAATAGACTAAATGATCCACACTCCTATAGGTCGAAAGTGCGTGCTGAAGGCATTCACTGCACATTTGTACACATCGCTTGCAGTGCCATCATCAGGATTCACAGGGGGGACAGTCAAGGTTTCGAACACGTAACTCGCCTGTTCGCCTACATAATGCAGCGACATTGCCTTCTTACGGCTAGGATCTGCGATAGCCATGGCCTCAAACATATTGTTCAAACGTCGCAGGTATTTTGCGAACCGTATAGGGGCAGTTTCTCGAGGTACAAGCTCAAATTCTGGGTAGTTTGGGAGATGGATTGCCGCCATGATGATTTTCGGATTGTCAAAGTTTGTGCAATAAAGTTCGTTTTCCTACCGCTTTTCGAATGTTGATGATGATGCTGATGGTCTTACTCGAAAACACGGATCCTCGTAGCCATTGCAACGTTCTCTATTTACTGTGCTGGATACAACATAAGCAGGAAGACATGGATATGCAATTAACGTGACTACATGGTGTAGTGGCGTATATTCTCGTGGTCGTACTGTACTGACACCGGTTGGCAGAGAACACAAACACCAGACACATCACTGAACGTGACACCCTCTCTCTGTTTCTCTCTCTGTACCCCTCTCTCTTTTTCTGTTTGTATCCTTCTCCTTTCTCTCTTTCTCTCTCTGTACCCCTCTCTCTCTCTTTCTCTCTCCGTACCCCTCTATCTCTCTCTTTCTGTACCATACTCTCCTCTCTCTTTCTCGCTGTATGTATCCCTCTCTCTTTCTCTCTCTCTATTATATCGATTTAATAATATATTTAAAAATAATCCTAAATAAAAAATTGCTATTCTGCTATTGTCTTCCTTTTGTAATAATGTGGTGTTCCCGTGTAATGACGTAGGTAGGCACTAGCTTAATGAGGACGCTGCAGGGTAATGACGACAAATTGTCTCTCGTATAACGTAGAGTAACTGAGTTCATTAAGAACGACCAGCAACGGTTACGACAGCACGTCATAACGCCGTCAGCTCACAACTGTTACTCACAAAGCGTATCTCTCCCGCTCTGGTTATCCCGGTCTGGTTATCCCGCCGAATATATATTTATGGCGCCGAATATATGGCGCTGCTATCAGCTAATTTACATACAATGGAATGCCCATATGACACTTTGATCTCTGGTTAATTGAGTGACAGGTATATGCAGAGGTTACATTATATGCAAGGTCTTCTTCCCATTTCTTATGTGAGATCTACTGATAGAATGTTATGATATTAATCTATGCTAGGATAATTCCTCTTCATTTAAATGCATAATGTTGTAGCAAATAATTTGCTCCTCGGAGATATTGCGCCATGCGCGAGCACCGCTTACATGCGCGTGCGGTACGACTTAGAAACTGCATAATATAGCTTGCTGGAAAGAGAGGGATCGTACGGCTGAGCGAAAGGCGGCGGGGTAAATAGCGAGCGGCGTGGTAAAAGGAAAAAGGAGGCTGGCGAGGGACAAGGAAGGACGGGCAATGATCGGGAGAGGATGAAGTAGCAAGTATTTGCATCCTACAGCCTAGGCGCTATAATTTAACCGCGGTTGAATTTTTCTACCGCGGTAAAAATAAGTATTTCTGAGTACGACGGCCCGCCGCCCCCAAGGTAAAAAGGGCCATAATCTTCACCGCAGTTGAATTATTTTCTCTTGCAAAAGCGAGAGAGAGGGGGAGAGCGGTTATGTAGCTTGTTCCTGCAGAGGAGAGGAGGGAGAGAAGCGTTAGCTAGCTTGTCTGCAGAGAGAGGAGATGGGAGAGGGTTATATGGCTGCGCCGGTGCACCAGCGCCGCGTACGCCGTCGCCACGTACAGCACCACCACTTCCTGCTAGTCCTGCACCAGCAGAGAGAGAGAGAGAGTTATACAGGGGGAAGGAGCGCAATAAAGGGTATAATATGGGGGAGCAGGCATGTTGTTCTTTCTAGTGGACGTGGCAAGTAGAAAGCGATGCAGGTGCTCTGCCACGTACAGCCACCACATCCTGCCTTGTCCTGCGGCGAAGGAGAAGAGAAGTTCAGATACAGGCGGCGGAAGGAGGAATAAAGGGTTAGTAGGGGGCGGTGTCTGCCACGTACAGCCACCACCACTCCTGCTTGTCCTGCGGGAAGGAGGAAGAAAGGATATTATTATACCCAAGGGGAGAGAGAGAGCGGGAGGGGGTTAGTATCGTGGCGGGCGGGTAGGGGTGGGTGCCGCCAGTTCGCCACGTACAGGCACCACCACTCCTGCTTGTCCTGCTGGAAGGAGGAAGAAAGGATATTAAAATACCCAAGGGGAAAGAGAGAGGGAGGGGGGTTAGTATGGGGAGCGGCGCCTCATACTAAGAGAAAGGGGAGGAGATCCTCACCTCGGGGAAGTGCGGACAGTGCACGCTGTGTGAGCATCGCGACTTCGTCTCCAACGTCTCCTTGCGCTTCTTCACGTTGAAGCTGTCCCAGTCGTCGTCTTCAGCCTCCCCTTCGCTGCCGTCCTTGTCGTGATGCGTCTCCCTGGAAACGCGAGAGGATGTTCGGTTACCGTGGCGACCGAGGCAATGTTCAGAATTTATGTAATTCAAATTCGGGTTGGAATTGGCGAGCGTTTAACGCGCTCGGTAGAAAAGGAATTCGATACGGAATCGGAATCCGATGTGGAAATCGGAAAAATGGGTTAGCGTACTTGGTAGAAAAGGAATCGGATCCGCCGCCGCCGCTGCCGCCTGCTGATGGAAAGGAAGGTCGTCGGAGAGTGAGGAAGTCTTCTTTGTATCTGCCTCTCTCTCTCTCTCTCTCTCTCACGTTATTAACATTGGCAGCATCTTCCTGGTACGATCGCTCACCTCCTCCTCTGCATCCTTCCACTCATCACTATTAGTGTGCCCATGCTTCTCCTCCTCCTACGTCTCCCCTTCCTTCACCTCGTTCACCTCCTCCTCCTCCTTAAAGCTCACCCCACTCCTCACCTTCACATCTCTTTCTCCTCACTCACCTCCTCCACCTCCATCTCCTAGCTCACCTTCTCCTCCTAGCTCACCATCTCGTCATCCTCCTTATCACCTCCTCCTCCTTCTCTCTCTCCATCTCCTCCATCTTCTCCTCTTCCTTCTCCTCCTTTTCCTCCTCCTCCTCCTTTACCTTCTCCTCCTCCTCCTTCTCCTCCTCCTCGTTTACCTTCTCCTCCTCCATCTCTTCCTTCTCATCATCTACGTGCTGCACATCGGGTTCCTTCTAGAACAGCTCCTCCAGGTGGCGTCGGCGTAGCGTCACCTCCATCGTGACGATCGCGCCGGCCGTGATAGTCGCCGATTCCTCGTCATCCAGAACTGAAGCCACGCACCATTATTTATCACTGATCGATTGATTGATTTTTGATCGATTGAATTCAGATCAATTGGTTCCTGAGCGCTTGCCCATCATTTAATTAAATTTCTATTATTTATTTTAATTGTTTATTTTAATAATTTAACAATTTAAAAAAAGTCTGAATAACTGAGCAGAGTTATTATAATGACTATATTATATTATTATATTTTATAATTAATAAAATTATTATAGGGTCCTTCTCCCCCTTCTTCCCCCCTCGCTCATACCTTTCGACGTAACGTCCATGGACATTACCGATCACCTAATGATGGCTCAATTTTAATATTTACTCTTACTCTATTTATA